TGCCGGGGGTCGATGCTCGTGGTCTCGCGTGATGCCCCGTAGCCGACGCGCAGACGCTCGTGCGCTGGGACGAGTGCCTAGGCCGTGCGGCATATTGTGAAGCTCTTTTTTTTTTCGTTGACTTGGTGTTTTTGTCGGGGGTTTAAATCGATGGGATGAGAGGTATGAGGGTGTTATGTTGAGGGTACGGTGGGAGGAAGGGGTGCATTGTGTAAACGGGTGGGTCGTTCTTGAGTGCTGGTGCATTCGTTGCCTCGTGTTGTCCTTCTAGAAGAGGTGCGACTATGAAACACAGCTATAAAACAACTCAACCAAAAACCTTTTACGTGTCCACGTGCAAAATGTGCATCGCATCACACAACGATGATTTATTTTCCGAACGCAGATCCACCAAAAGCGTACCACGTACAGCAGTACTTGGGTCCACGTGCTTGCCAACCAAGAGAATGAGCGGTGTTTGGAGGTAGCCCGACGTGGTAACGCTAGCTGCGCAAGTGACATGCATGATACGCTCTCTTCATGACCTATTATGGCATTCGAGTGTAGTCAGTGCGCGAGAGTCCCTGTTTCACGACCTTTATTTTTGTCTACGATATAAGTGAATATTCTCTTTTATAGTGAGATACTGTTTAAGAGAATTCTCTCTTATACCGTAGCCAACACGATATAACAGGAAGCCAGATTTAAGAGAGTGAAATTGGCTTGTACCGACCCTCTCTTAAACCGTAGCCGCTACTGTACAGCAGTGTGCCCGCCCGTCCACAAGAAACGAATATGCACATGTTCGTACATAAGATACCGAGGCACCAGATTTTGGACAAACTTGGGGAAAATGCCCTCAGAAATTGAGCATGAAGCGCCCGGCGCTACGTACGTTGATTTTGTACTTATGCTGTAGGTAGGACGGGGTAATGAGCCGCGGGGCGGGGTAGCGACTCAATACCTGGCAGTAGTCTTATCTGCGATGCTGATGGTGCACGAATCCCGACACACGCAGCAGCGTGAAGCGTTTGTGGTGCAGCTATACGCGTGCAGAGAGGGGCAGGGGGGGTGCGAAGGGCGCGACGATGGTTGTATGTGCGGCCCCCGTTCAAACACTTTGCTTCCCATTGATGCACATACATGCCGGTCGCCCCGGTGGGCTAGTGGTACCCTCGTAATCCGCTAGTCACAGAGGCCGTGAGTTCGAATCCCCATGGAGTGAAAAAAATACGAAATTTGCAGGTGAAAACGAAACATAGCTAACAAGCTCTCGTGAGTACCAGACTTCGACGTTAGCACCGTTGACGAGGGAAAGGGACGGCTGGACCCTCCTCGCGATAAAAATAAATTTCAGCACGCACCGCAGGAGGAAGGCGGGGCATGAAAAGAAACAAAAAGAAGAAAGACAGCCCTGGTGTTTACCCCCTCCTGTGTGACCCTCGATGGTTATAGTTGTACGAAAAAATACTGAAAAGTGTAGAACTCTACATACGCTGATGACGGTAGTACACGCCTCACCACGAAAAATGGGGGGACTGTCGCCATAGTAAATAGGACGAAAACACAAACACACACATGCACACACCCACGAAGAAACAAAACTTGAAGCCTTCCTGCTGTGCGGACGCCAACAAGCACATCTGGGCATCCTGGAAGAGGAACACACGCGGCATAGACTATACCTGGCGGCGAGTGTATCACACATGGCGCCGTCGAGGAGCACGACCAGCAGCGTAGACATAGGATTATGACAAGACAGATGGCAAATATTGCGTCAGGCTCACAACTTGCCCGCCACATTCATTCGTCTAAAGTCTTCCGAGTTTCCCGCCAAGTGAAAGGAAGCAGTCCACGTATGCAACAAAGAAAATAATGTGCCTCGCTCACAACAACGCATGCCGCCCCACACGCCCTACAGTACATCGAAACCAAAATGCCGTGCAGTACATACACGAACCGTGATTCACGTCGCCCCTCTCTGTCGACCCCCATCGCAGTTTCAGACCACGCAAGTTATAATTCCTCGTTAACGGGACAGCATAAGGTCACCACCCACCACCCGTTACCGATGGAACAATGTGACAGCAGAGGCAAATAGGAGTCTCGGTGTTGTGGATTGTGGAGAAGAAAAACAATATCCGTGCTTGCCACCCACGAGTGTGCAGACAGGAACCCACCGCACCCACCCCATTTCGTCACTCTCAATCGTACCGCCGAACTACCGCCCTCTGCTCGCAGAATTTCGCCGTGAGCAACCAACGCCACCTGGTTCTCTTCACCGCAGCACGGCAGCACCACTTGCCAACTTTATTCTGGCTGTGGCGGGCAGTGTGGAGCCCGTGGTAAAAGCTTTCAAGCATATGCACCCACCGCCACACAGTCGCACCTCCCCCTCCAATGTAAATCCAAGCACACACGGCCCGTCGCGATGCACATTTGCCCGCTACACCCTCCTCCCAGAATTAACACCACGATTTCAGCCGATCACGCAGCCACGCATAACACCGGCGTTTTTTTCGATGGTGAGCTGATCAGCGCGGTTTATTCCCGTCAAAAAAACACGGACGCATATCGTACGAGCATGCACCTAACATAAGCACATGAACCTGATCGCGCAGCCCACGATAATGAGTATCACCCTCCACAACCTTGGTCTGCGTCGCACCCTCCGATCCGCGCTACTCTACAAATACACCCCACGCAGATATATGCATAGTCATTGACTACAATGAACGGCTGTCGGCTAGCAGCGAAATACAAAATTTTCATCCCCCGGATGCCAAACCTCAATATATTTTATCATGACTCTCCTCCATACTCAAGTTTTTTTTCAAATTTCGATTATTTTCAAGCGCTTGAGACATCACGATTCAAACCCATCAACCAACGCACCGCAGAAATCATAAAAAAAATGTTTCTTCACTCGTAAGATACAAATGTACTTCTGTGTGTTGGGGTGGGGATTAGCCATGCCATATCCGCCAAGTTATTGCGGCGGGCGACACAATGAAGTTGATGAAAACCTTCCGCGTCGTGCCCCCTACTGTTGAGCCAAACCACCTTCCCGCTCGCACCAACGTATACATATTCCACTTTGTTCCGCCGCCAACCTCGTCGTGCATACAAACACATGGCTTACAAAGAGAGGAAGAAAACCAAGGGGAGGGGAGGGCAACGAGGGGGGGGGAGGGAGGGACTCACCCTCGAATACTGCAAAACGCCACTCAAACGCACCACTCCACAACAATACGTCAAGCCCCATCTAGTCCCGCTCTAAAACTTGTTTGATTTCAAAGTACACCAGCTCCCGGGAGGGGGCTCACACGATAGCGTGGTCGACAAGAGCGGCATCTGGTGGCATGACACGCCCGGATCGCGCCACCCTTGCTCGTCGAGACAAGAAAAAAAACACTGAAGGGGGCGCACGCAAACCCTACAAACGTGCTGGTGTGCACAAACAAACAAAGACACCAACAACAACAACAACAACAACAACAACAACAACAATAAAGAGTGTCTCGAACTTGCCGTATCTTACACACCAGACAGTGCGAAACGACAACGTTCTGTTGGTTGCTTTCAACAATGGTGTGCTAGCTATCCACCAACCAGCCCTCATCCATTTTGTGGTCGTCCCAAATGAGGCACCGAGCGACCGGCAGACGGAAGAAACCGTCGATCGTTGACTTTCGGGGGACAACTCTCTCTTGTTCCCGCATGCCCGTCGGCTGGACTGAGGGACACCATTCGCGTCAGAAAGTGAACGACAGTAGTGATAACCCGAACAGGCACGCTGCATATGGCTGCCTTGAAAAAGCGCCTCCCTCGCCCCAAAGGTCATGGCGAACCAGTTTATTATGGACCGGGAGAAGGTGACAACAGCTTTGTCCCAGTCGACGGGCCCCCTGTCGCATAGGCGTCCGGTACCGTCAGCGGCACACCTGTCTGGACTCAGTAGGTGATGTCTTTCCATGCGTCCAGAAGAAACACCGGGGCCCCCAGCAACGGCCGATACCAGGTCCTACGTCTCCCTTGGGGCGAAGGTGATGAGGTACATCGGGTAGGCCTGCCAGTCCTTGTACGTGACCTGCGAACGAAAAGAAAAAACACCAGGAGGTTAGTTGTGAAAACTGCCGACAAGGGAAATTGCATGTGCGTTTGACATCCCCACGTAGCGGGAGTCAGTTGAGAGTGCCAATTCCGAAGAAGCTAAAGGAAAAACGTTTATCGGACGGGCTTGCGGTACGACTTCTCAAACGGTGATGTGCGCATATACCGGGGTACCACGAGCTGCATAACCTGCCAAAATCGCTTGATAGACTTATCTGTGAGTCCAAGCGCTTGGCAAGACTCACGCCAGCGTTTCGGAAACGCGTCTTAAACCAACACCACGCCAAAGAGTGAAAACGGGGAAACAACTGGGACAATCATGAACGGGGGCAATAACTGTTTTTCTAGAATGAAGGTATGAAAATTGTAGCTGTAGATGTAATTGTGTTTAGAACAGTCACCCACACGCGCGGAATGTGGGCTGGTACTGACCTCTACCTTCCAAATTGACGTGAGTTATACGATACTCCTATGCTAATAGATCGGATAAACTCAAACACCCCGCGTTCATCGGTGCTGTAAGTGCCTGCGTACATGGATGCGCTGTTGACAGGCTTACCTATACGTCACGAAAACGCATCAGTATATGCAGGACCAAACAAAGCGAGGGAATTTTCTACTCCGAAGGGACCCCAATAGCGGGGTATGTGCGACCCGTTACGTAGCGTCGTCTGCACGCCAACCCGTCTGGCCTATGAACATCATCCAACCTGGTAGCTGGAGAAACGATAGCACGCACTCCAAGTCGCGCGTGTCCAAGTGCATAATGCCAACTCCAAGGAAGTGACGCTCGTCGGAAAAGAAAACAACCACCGAGCTTGCTGCATACCGCAAAGCAGTACCAAAAATGAAACGAGTGCATCTTGCAAAGCAGCCAACGTAGGTTACCGAAAAGAGGCCACACAACACCTCGCCAGCAACGGCGGCAAATAGATTTTCTTACCATTTCAGAGCGTCGATATTACGGCACATGGTGCCGCTTGTTCGTGTTCGATCGCGTTGAACGTGGAAAACAGCACTACTGCCAACAGCCTGAGCCCCCCGTCCGTCACCCACAATAAGAGACGGTGCATAGTCATCATTGGTAGTCGTGTCGTAGTGCCTCTCCCCCGTCCCCATCTTGGGCGGGATGAGCATGCTCGCGTCTCCGCGGACGAACTCGCCGACGAGCACCTTGGCCATGATTATCTGAGTTTGATACAGACAGACGATGCCGTGAAAGAGAATCAACACCCACCCACAGGGGGGGGCTCAAGGAAAAGGTTGATGTTGCCAGAAAAACATGCTTGACATGGCAGGCCGGTTGTTCCCTGCGAGCTGTACGTTAGTAACATCATCCCGTGGACGGGTATGTGTAGGCCTCTTTGGTGTATGACCATATTTCATATCATAGTGGTAAAAAGGCATCAAGAAGGACAGGAGAAGCCCCAGCCCTGGTTGGTGGAGTACCGTTTCTCTGCGGAACCCCCTACTGAAGCGTTCATGTTGTTGTTGTTGTTGTTGTTATTTCTCGCATTAGCTCTACAGTCCACAAAAATGGGGAACCCGGGGTCTAAAAAAATCCGGCACATACGACGCCGCGGGGAAACAAAACAAAAATAGGGTACAAACCAATCGGAAAAAGACAACAAAATGATGAAAAAGGAAAGGACAGCCACCGCACCGACCGGTCGAGAATAGAGCCCTCGGAAACCGATCAAAATAAAACAAACAAACAAAAGCTCAAAACAAAAAGGAGGACGCTTCCCCCATCTGCCTAAAAATAAACAAAAACAAATGGAAGCGTACCAGCAACAGGCACGGCGCACCAGGGCATGGGAGTAGTGGAGCCAACAGAACAAGGAGGCGGCAAATGGGTAGACAGGCAGATGAATGAAAGAAAAGCAACGGTAAAAGCAAAAGGTATACGATCGCAGTTATTTTCCTGTACCAAGCCATGTGTAACTTACCGGAGCGAAGGAAGCCCAACAACACGCAAGCACGAAACTCGGGGAAAATCATGAAAACAGACAGCGTGTGAAGGCGCACCTGGCCGCCACATGGCGGCTTGGCCATGTACTTAGCGGCAAGGAGTGCGTCCCGGGCAAAGTAACATCCCTGCCCAAATTTCTGTCGAACGGGGCAAGAAACAGAGCCGATAAAGGCAACAATCGGTATGTACAATGAATTTGCTTGAATGCATCGCTGGACTTTGCGGAGTTCACTGCAAAACTGGGCGCGCAATGTCCATGCGCATTAGGAAGTAGAGGAGGGGTCCAGCGTTTGCCCTGAAGTAACGGCAGGGACAACAGACTGCAAATCACGTATTACCTTCACACCATGCACACCAAGAAACCTTAGAACGGCAAACGCCCATCTCATCCACCGTGGACAGCATCAATACCACGCTTCACAGACAGATGGAACAAAAAAATACAATTATCCAAGGGGGAGGGATTCAATATTCACTCAATGTTGAGATTGTAAGGGCGAGTGTGGAAAGCCGTGCAGGGCACGCCCATTGACGGAGTTCAGGACAAAACAATTTTCCTATATATGCAGAGGCGGACGGTCGTACATGTGCGTCACGATGGCACCCCTTGGCAAGGCTTTGCCCAAAATACGGATTGAGCTAAGAATCTACCCTGCGTCTTCAAGACGAAGAGCTGCATAGAAGGCTAAGCGAGAAGTGAACCGAACCGCAGTGTCACCCAAGCCAAGGCACCCAGTCGTGCACGGCTGAAGGGGTGTAGTGGACAGCGGATTCGCATGTCTGTCCCGCTCGTTTCGAACCCAGCCCGACAGCAGTTTTTCTTGAATAAACTGTTCGGTCTCAATAACAGGTGGACTACAATCTCCCGCAAAGTCAAGGCTCAGTAGAATGACATACTATGCCGAGGTTGACGATAAACAAAACATACGGAAAGGAATCCGTAGCAGCGACAAACTCCCATCAAGAGTCGCGAGGCTGTGAATTCCGCGACAAATAGGCGGATGCAGTGACTTGTATGCATATGACGAAGAAGACAATATCTCGCACGGTGTCCATACTTACTCATAAATAGTCGTGTCTAGATGTGCGAACGTACAGACCCCTCTCTCACCGCCCCGTTGATCGATCCCGCCAGTCTTTTCTCGAAACCCGTTCGCATGATGCTGTTGATCGCGTGGGAACGAGCCCCGTGGAAAAGCATGTGCTCGTTCCCGATAGACTGTTTTCGTTCCATTCATTCCACCGATACGAGCAAGGGCACAGCGGAGAGGTCAGAAGGCGATGAAACCAGTACATGTATCAGGTACTCGCTAGGACTACGAACAATGGTGTTCGCATTGTGCCAAGAAAATTCGCCGGCCTTAACAAAGTGCAAGGCGTGTGGCAGGCCTTACTCCGCATACCGGGCGCCCAGCACCCAGCAGAGAATGAGACAACTTTGAACCTTCCATCTTTGCCACGCCATGTACGGACCGACCGACCACCAATAGGGACCACTACTACCGGCCCTTTTCGAAAAAAAAAAAAATCGAGGGGAACGAATGCGACGGACAAGTACCAACCTCCATGCAGAAACTACTCCATCGAAATATGATAAACGAGGATAGCCAAAAAAGAAAGATGTACGGCGAGGAGCACGTGCAGGCCTGACAATTACAAGCGCGAGTTCACAACACGCACGAGGGACTTCCAAGGGCAACATCCGCTCAGCCCGAAGCCGCGCCCTTTCGTCGTTGATTGGCCAGGCACAGCCGGATAGCGCAGTCGGTGGTATCCACTGTACTCCATAGTCAAATGAAGCAAGGACAAGAACGCTCCCCGCCGCAATCACAATACGGCGCAAGATGCGTTGACAGATACCTTGGCGTTTTGTGAGTAGTGCTCCCACAAGAAGGAGTTCCAGATGTGTTGGACCCTGATCACCGCTGAGTCTTGGTAGGAAAATTCCACGGCGTCTCGGACCATCCTCTCGTCCGCCTGCATCCCGACCAAAAAAGAGGAAAATCGCAGTCCCAACGTGAAGGGGGTAGGTTTAAAGTCACAGCAGTCCCAACGTGAAAGGCGGTTCAAACGTTCCCAAACCAGTCGAATCGTCTGGTCTGATATCTATCGACGTGCGTACGTACCGGCTTCCCAATCTTCGAAAAACATAATACGTTATTCGGAGTACTGTATATCCGTTGGTCAAAGTCTCCATGTAGCCAATGGGGAGGATGATGAGCAAAAAGCTTCTCGTGGTCAGTTACGATACTTGTTTCACAACTGAGCCAAGTAATCCAAATCAACGGAACCTTCAAAAAAAGAACTGGGTGAACACGTGAACACCTACTTCGCAGTGCGCCTCCTGAGAGAAGCCAAAAACAAAATGGGAGAACAAGAAACCGAGGTGTGGTGTTTGTGTTTGTGGTGCGGTTGTGGTTACCTCGGACACGTCCACGAGGCTGACGGTGGTGCCCGCGCGGAAAGGAGTGAGAGGCACGTTGGCTGAGGGGCACCGAGGTAGCGGGGACACCCTCCGGTCCGTGACGACGCGCTTGATGGCCCGCACCATTCCCGTCGCAGCGTTACACTGCCAGTGGCCCAAGAGGGTATCGTGGATATCGTAGATTGCAGGAAAGTGGCGACGATATTGGGCGACACGGTAATAAAGCATGTCGAGACAAGAGCAAGACAAGAGCAAGACAAGAGCCGAGTCACGCGAAACGAAACGGGTGTGGCAACGAATGAAACGAAAAAAATGGTGTGCGAATGGGAAAAAAAAGTTGCGACCATGACAACCTTCAAGAAAGAACGGAAAGAAAGGGGTGTATTCGTGGAATTGTCATCGTGATTGTGTAATTTTCGGTGGAGCCGCCTGCCTCCTATCTCTCATTTGTTGCCTATCCATTCGTCGTGTTTGAGCACAGTCATCTCTCTACGCAAGTTACACGAATTTTCACAGCCCCGTATGCTTGGTGATGTGAGAGCCTGGTCCGGTGAGAACCCGGCGTGCTCCGTCCCGGCTTTGTAGGGATGCGAGGTCAATGGTCTGACGAGTCCGGCATACACGACTATGAGTACACACACACACCCCGTATGCACAAGTCTATGGGAAAATTTCATTAATTAAGCTCCGTCTGTTTGGGGAGTCAGAATATGGTACGGGTACGAGTTCCGAAGTATCATCGCTTCAAGACTGCTCCCTGCAAGAACCAAAGCGTCAACTTTAGTATATCGAAAGCACCCTCTCTCCCCTTCCACCTAAAAGTCTACTCAACGAAACCAGCCAATCTCCCCCCACCGCAAGCGGCGCCAAAACGATGTCTCTCCGCATTCATTCTTTCGACGATGGCTTTCCAAGGCCGAGCCCCGCACCCCGATCACAATGCCACAGCAGCACATAGGTGTGCACACAAACACTCACACAAGGTCCCAGATAATGGCGTTCAAAAGCGTTTCGTCAACCGCACTGAGACTGACATATGTTCATTGGCCAGCCGGTGAGCGCGGTCGATGCAAACAATAAAGACACACACATGTACAACATGGTCACTCGCCTGCGTCATGAGGACAAAGTTGGCGAAGTAGGAAAAACCTCCCGTCGAGTACGACGCTGAGCTTTCCCCGTTCGACTCCGTCCGGTGAAGGAAGGCGTGCTCCAGGCTGTTGCTGGCGGCGCGTTCCATGGGGAACCAGGCCGGTATCCCGGTGTACACGGCTGGACCCTGGAAATACCAGTACGCCGGGGAGTAGAGCCGTTGCGCGCTGTTGTCCTGCAGCGCCGGAGTTTGTTCGCAGAGCGCGTCGGGAAATCGCAACAGCGACAAAAACTGAAACCACGTGTGTATAACGTATATACAACTACGACGCCATTGCGGTTCGACCGATGCCGAAACGTGTGCAGCATACAGTGTCGTCATGAGGTTTCCCGCCTTCGAGGCCGCCCATTTTTTTTTCTGTTACTCCACATGGTCGACCATACCACCAATAACAACCAAGATAGTGATGCCCTTTTCAGTTGTAAACATCATGTGCGTCTACGGCCGCCTCACGGGATACCGCGGGCATCACCGGGAAAACCGTGTGGTATTTGGCACACACCCGCCAGCCTCGCGGGGGTGAACTCACGATTGCCTCGATGGCCCTGGACACTTGCAGCACTTGCTGCTCCGCCCCGGCAACCTTGACGATGGCACCGTCGATTCGGACAGACACGTCATCGCAAGAGGCAAAGGCGGAGGCTAGGCCCTCGATGGTAGCCTTATTGCCCTGGTCCGTCATGAGGACGCCTATTTCCTGGCAGTGGACCGTGCTGGTGGTGGAAGAATAAGGGCATAAGGGAGGAAAATGGGGGAACGAGAGTTGGAGTCCATAGTGAACGCAACGGCAGAGAGAGTAGTGGGAAAGAAGGTGGTACCATGTGAGGTATCGGTTAAGTGGTGGGATGACGAGCTGAAACGAGAAATGGGGAAACGTAGAGAAGTCTTCAAGCAGTACATGAGTGAGGCGTCTGAGGAGAGTTGGGAAACGTACAGGGCCAAAGTACAGGGCCAAGAGAAAATAGGTGAAAGGACTAGTGAAAAAGAAGAAAAAGTGCATTTGGGACGAAGTAGTGCAGAAGGCCAACGGAGGCCTGGAGGGGAACGTCAAGCAGATATGGGAAGGGATTAGTGGAATGGTAAACAATACCGCGCAAGGGGGGGACACAGGGGTAGCAACTTTGCGAGGTGTGAACGGTGCATTAGTCAGCAGTGGGAAGGGAAAAAGGGAAGGACTAGCAGGACACTACAAGAGACGTGGAGTGCCGTCGGAGAATGAAGATTTTGACCAAGTGTTTAAGAAGGAGGTGGA